CTGCTTGTGTGTCATCAGAGTTCAGTGATAGCAAGGTGACTACACTGCCTTAGCGTTTCTGTTGCTCTGAAGAGACACCATGACCATGACAACTCTTACAAAGACAACATTTAATTGAGGTGACAGCTCACAGTTTCAGAGGTTCAGTCCATTATTGTGGCGGACAGTGTGCAAGCAGACATAGTGCTGGAGAGGTAGCTGAGTGTTCTACATCTTGTTGGCGGCAGGAAGTGGACTGAGATACTGGGTGTGGCCTGAGCATATATGAAACATCAAAGCCTACACACAGTGACACACTTCCTTCAACAAGGCCACACCTACTCCAACAAAGCCACACCTCCTAATAGTGGCCACTCCCTTTGGGAGCCATTTTCTTTCTAACCGTCACACTTTCAACAGTGATTTTATAAGAAGCAAATTAAAACAAATTTCAGTTTCAATTCAGAGTCACAATTTCTTGACTATTCAAGATTTAATTGAAATAGTCTTATATTTAATCTTATATCAAAACCGAGAAAGTTCCAGAACTAAATGTAAGATAGCAATAGATGCAAACATTGAGTTGACTGATAGTATACTCTGTCATTGTCTGATAATAAAGGATTCAGTTAAAAATTAACCAAACTGGGCATGATGGTACATGCTTATGTTCCAACACTCAGGAGACTGAGTCAGGAGGATTAAGAGTTCCAGGTGAGCGGCTGGGCCCGGTGGTTAAGAGTGTGTATGTTCGTGGAGAAAACCTGAGTTCGGTCCCCAGCAGTCATGATGGGTGGATCACTACTGCTGTGACTTCAGCTCTAGAGGATCTGACACCTTCTTTTGGCCTCTGGGCAGGCACCTGTACTGAAGTACACATATCCACACAGACACACATTACACATGTAATTAAGAAATAAAAATATTTTTAAAAAGAGTTCAAGGTGATCCTTGACTGCATAGTTCAAAGCCATCCTGGGCTTTGTGGGATGGTCTTTTCTCAAATAAACAAGAGTTGAAGGACATTGTTTACAGAAGAAAGGTTAGAGTGACAACATTCTCCCAAGCCGAAGGAAATTTAGGAGTAGCTATAAAATACTGAAAAACAAAGCCTGGGCACTTGATCCTAGAGTCTGTTCGCGTAACCGTTTCTGTAGGCTGCACCAGAAGGGCAGTAAAAGCAAAGATAGATAGAGCAGTTAGGTACACGACCTTTTCCTAGTGTCTCGGGGAATTGAATTGGTACTAAGTCCTTTGTACAGAAGAGCAGCTGCTCTTTGTAATTCCTGATCTGTTTCTGTCCGTTTCTTCTACTCTTCGAAAAGTAAAATTGGTTAATACCGAGCATTGTCTTACCTGTCCAGCAAGCTTGTATTCTAGAGGAGGATGAAGTAAATGTGAATGTGACTACAGTACAGGCAGATTTGGATAGACGTCAGAGAAGAGAAATTAGAGAAAGACCTTTAGAAATGGGAAGGAAGAATTGAGATCAAAACAAATGAAGGACGTCCAGGAAAATGGCATGTGAATCTGATTAAAAGTGCAAGAAAAAGAAAGAGCTGCGGATGTGTCCAAAGTCTGTGGCCAGATGAATGAGCCAGGAGTGCGGTTATGGCAGTGATTGAGTGTAATAGGGTCCTCAACTGCAGAAGTTTTCTGCTGAACTGTGCATATGTTTACTACCTAAACTAGTGCTGGCTCCAAAGTACTTAGTGTTTATTATGCAAATGAGTACATGAGTGTAGTAACTGGGAAGCAGTGGGCACCAGTTTGGCCAGGAAGGATTTTTGGTAGTGAATTCTGGTTGAGGAATTATAAATACAGAATTTCATCTTCACTGCCATTGTAGTTGTTGCTTTGTCTACGTTCCAGGCATCATAGAGATGCCTCTCATGGACCAACTGTGTGGCCTTTTATTTAAATGGGCACTGCAAGAGAATAAATAGTGTTACTACTGACTTTATCTTACTTGAGGGCACCGTTGTCTGTCCTGTGTTAGACCTCCTGACCTAGGTACCCACCCTACCACTAACAATAGCATATTGTGATTTGCAGCTGGGAATGTGGCTTAGTGGGAAAGTGATCCTCTACCATGTGCGTGACCCTGCACTTGGTCCCTCCCACCGCCCAAAACAAAACGTTTGGCTGAGTAACCTTAGGCAAATGCCAAACGGTATCTTAAAAATCACCCAGCCTAAGCCCACCGTTTAAACTGGAGCTGGGATAAAAGTAATGAACCAGGGCTGTCCAGGACCCCCTAAATCAGATTAGGCTAGCACCACAGCCCTTGATCGCCTTCTGTCTACAGCTTGAAGAGGAGACCCTATTGCTGAAGACACCACGGATTTTTGTTACGGGACTTGAGGAGTCAAGCTGGTACTGACAGGAGCTGGAAGGCTCCTCCCTGAGGACTAGTTCTCACAGCACTGGAAGGTTCCTCCCCGAGGACTAGTTCTCACAGCACTGGAAGGTTCCTCCCCGAGGACTAGTTCTCACAGCACTGGAAGGTGCCAGGCAGGCTGCCAGGGGAGAAAAGTGACCAGCAGTCCCACCAGCTGTAAAGCCTGTGAACCCCAGTAACCACTGGCCCGGCAGGACCCACCACAGTGCAGCAGTGGCACTTCTGTCGGGGTAAACCAACGGGCCTCTAGCTGGGCTGAAGGCCTGCCCGGTAGGAGGGAACTGTAAACTTGGCTAAGAACCCACGGCTGGAGAGGTCATAGATACCCAAGGACAACCTACTACTGATACTTGTCAAAATTAATGTAGCTTTCAATTATTCTAAATACCTTTAGCCCCATAGAGAAGCACACCTCTCATTCTTGATCAAAAAAGCTGCTTTTGCAGCAGATGGAGGACGCTATACAGGTCTGTGACTGTCAGAATGTAGAGAGCATGTGACTGTGGTGTGCACAGCCCTTGTTGGGACATCTGCAATACAACCTCTATACCTAAGGCTCACAGAGCATCATGGACGAGGGGGTGGGAAGGTTGTTAGGACAGAGAACCAGGACAATTACTAATAGATAGTGTCCTCTAGACATGTCAGGGGTACTGCACCCACAAACTCTCCACAGTGAGGTTGCCTGTACAAGACTATACCACTCAACATGCCAGTAGATGGCGGAAATTTCCACAAGGCTCCACCCCTAAATGGAGAGCTACAGGCAGTCAGGGGCTGCTGAGGGAGGAAGAATCTGACTTTTCCAGAGACGAGAGACTCTGGTAAGTTCCCAATTCTAAATGGTCAGCCCCAAATACATATACATATGAGTAACAGTAACTGGACTCAGTAGGCTGTATGTGTGTATGTGTCTGTACACTTACAATATTTATAGAAATAATAGTTAGAAAAGGTCATGAATTTGAGAGAGAACGGGGGAACATAGAGTTGAAGAGGAGATAGGGATGGTGAACATCATGTAAATACAGTGTGTTTAAGTATGACATCCTTAAAAAGTTCGATTAAAAGTAATCTGACTTACTACAAAGTCATAGAGTTGCAGGAGGAAAGGAATGAAGAATAAATGTAGTCCAAGAACAAACCTGAGGAGAATTGTTCTACCTAACTGTAGTGGGGAATGGGACAGAGATGCGAATTAGTTAGGCTCTTTTCCATTTACTTGGGGTTTTTGTGGGGAAGGGAGTGGGCACGGTGCTGGGAATGAAACCCTGGGCTCTTGGCATACAGAGTGAGTGTATCACTGTGCCCTCCGTTGGACTTTTGACGTTTACCTTCATGGATGAGTTTTCTGGGAAAAGTATGTTTACATACTGGGTATTGACATCTTTATGCCCTGTTAACATCTGTCATGTGTACAATGTCAGACTTGGAATTCCTGAATTATAGGGATGAAAACGATCAGAGAGAGCCTCACCTGGCGTTTCGAAGACGAGGAAACGCCCTGTGGAAGCCTCACACTTCTTTCCTTTATGGAGAGCTCTGCCAGCTTTGTCCCTGTCCCAGAGCACTTCTTTAGTATCCTTTTGACTTAGAGTGAGCCCCGAGTGTTCGTTTTGGTAAAATAGCCACGGGTCTTGCTTTTTGCAGTGGTTCATTTGAATAATAAGGGGTAACCCCAATACAGAGAAAGAATAAAAAGAATTGCTGGTGTGCCTGGGTTTGTACATCAGTGCACAACACTGATGGATCTTGTTCCAGGCCCCCGGTTCAGTCCCTGGCACCACACGGAAGAAGAGGAGGGGAATTTAAAAAGGGAATAGGAGCGCAAAGCAGGCATAGTGACACGTTATAGCCAACTAGGAGATCACCAAGGGAGGGGGCAGGGATCTGTTCTCAGTGCCTTGTCCCCAATCCTGAGCAGCAAGGGCCTCGGAAGGCTCTGGGTGTTAGGAAACCGTTGGAGCCCACTCACTAGGAGCATGTGGCATCTGGCAGCACGAGGTGTTATGAAGGAGAAGATGACTTGTATCTTCCCTCTCGTTCCTCGGTGACTTGTGGTGTGCTCTGGAATAGTGAACATAGGAAAGAAGACCTAGAATATCTTGCAGTTAGACATTTAGTAACCTCGGCTGTCACTTTAAAAGCTCAGTCACCGTATTTGTGTTTAGGTACACAGATTTTGTGTGGATTAGTTGCTCTCAAACAGATGATTTATTAGCCCAGACAAAGCCAAGGAATTAACTGTCACGTAAGGAGAAATTTGGGAGTGGTCATTGGATTGGCCTAGCATGAATTCCTATCATGGACTTGTGTTTTAAATAATCACTTTACGGTAGTATTTACAATTTTGAATTTTAGTCAGCAACTGATTCAGCCCTGTGCCAGACACTGTTGGGGGAGAGGGAGAGTTGGAGAAAGTCCTTGCCCTTAAAATTGAGTCATGCTGGGTACAAAGTGAAGAACGTGACATTTTAGATGTTTTTCTCTTTTTCCTTCATTTTCGAACCTGAGCTATCATGTTGTGCAATTTTTAATTTTAATTTACTGACTTGTAGAGCATGCTCATGACTGGAAATTCAGTAATTTAGAGCGTGTATGCTTCCTTTTGGATTTCTAGGTCGCACGGCTGGAGAAGGATAAGGAGGAACTGCATGGCCAGCTGCTCAGCGTCGATCCCACAAGAGACAGCAAGCGCGTGGAGCAACTCGTTCGAGAAAAATCCCATTTGCTTCAGAAATTGAAAGGGTTAGAGGCTGAAGTAGCAGAATTAAGGGCTGAGAAAGAGAATTCTGGTGCGCATGTAGAAAATGTCCAAAGAATACAGGTGAGGCAGCTGGCGGAGATGCAGGCTGCACTCAGGTCCTTGGAGGTAAGGCTTTAATTGCTTCCCAGTAGAGCATGGCCTGAGTTCTCAAGTGCGCGAGACAAGCCTTGGTTTTAGAGTATAAACACATGCTTGCCCATCTAATGCTGACGCAGTTGTGTCGTCCCAAGTGTACATGGAAGGAAGAAAGGGTGTGGTTCCTCCAGGTAGCTGGCTGTGCAACTACATTAGGAGGGGTAGGCACTCTTCGGGAACCGTCGTCTGAGTGACATGTCTCACCTCTTAAAACGTAGACTAGCAACATACCCCAAGTTTTTCAAGACTAAAGTCATTGGAAAACATCACGGACAATTACTTTTGAAATTATAATTTCTTATACTAGAGTTTAAAAACCTTAAAATCGTAAATCCTATTTGAGCAGACATAACATACTACATATAACTTACATGCTTCTAGCCAAAGTGATAAAAGTTAGCTGGCTACTAATGCATACTAATCTTTACTGAATTATTTTCCTGAGTTCACTAGAGAAAGAAAATGTTGGCAGAGCCCCACCAGGACCTCTGGGAGCTGTCACTTAGGAAGACTCGTGGCTTCCGTCTTATTTAGACATGCTTATGCCTCTTAGTGCCTGGGGCCTAAGATGGAGCCGAGACTTCATGTTTGTCAGAGTTGGGTTTTCGTCCTTTGGGGTAGCCATGCAGTAGTTGAGCTAGAAGGAAATTATAGGCACATGGTGCGTAGTATATCCAATTTCAAAATACAAAATGATGGTGGGGGGCAAGCAACATGGAGTACTGTGGTAAGTTGTGAAGAGGAGAAGATTTTGGGTTTTTTTGTTTGTTTGTTTTTAGGGAAAGGTGAAGTCTTTGTTAGTACTTGTCAGAATTAAACTTGGCAGTATCATTGGACCTTAGACATAAGCTGATTAACAGTAAGATTGTTTAGGTTGCCATTTCACAGTCCTGCAGTGATGAGTAAGACAGGTGTTTGCAGTTGAATGTAGTGTAGAGTCCCAGTGTGGACTAGGACCAAGGTCACCTAGAGTGATTATTTTCAGGATAAGTTGGATGATGACAAAGATAGAGGGCTCATTTGTGACATTTTTCAGATTAGCTTGCACTTAGTTTTATCATTTGTCAGATAAAATGAAAAATAAATACATAACAGCAGATATTTTTCTTGGAGAAAACAATATTCTGTTGTTGTACACAAAGAATATAATTTTATATTTGAAGAAAATAATTGTTGTTCCCTGAGTTATTTGCTGAATACAGTCCTTATTTAATACAGTAAACATGCATAGAAAATAGAAAACTGAAGTTTATCCCATAAGTGTAAAAACACTCTCATTTTATTTATCTCGATTAGAAATGTTTATTAAAGCTTTTACTTTTTCCTCTCTGCTAAAAGAATACACTGAGTATCACTTTGAGGACATTTCTGTCAATTTAGAGACTTCAATAAGAATTTAATTGTGTGGTAAAGTCAAAAGCTTTTTTGCTTGTACTTCAGGAGGCTTCAGGACAGTTGAGAATTTTCAATTTTTGTCTCTATCTGTTCCTGTAGAAAAGAATTCCCCATTGATTGTGGATTTTCACCTCCTTTATGTTTTTTCCTTTGTGTGTGCAGATATGTATTGAGCACCTGTGTAGCACGGCACGTGTGTGGCGCTCAGAGGGTAGCTGGTAGGGTTGGTGCTCGCTTTTTACTGCTTAGGTCCTGGAGATAACTCCGGTCCTCAGGCTTGGCAGCAAGCACCTTTTACCCACTTACCAGGGACTGGGCAGCCTCCTTTCCTGTCTTCTAAAATGCTTCTCCGTAACTTGTGGACTAGCAAGTCTAGAAATGTTAGAATTATGCCAGCATTCCCATCCTGAGGTATTAAATGAGTACTCTAAGTACTTTCTCTCCTGAAAGAAGAAGATCGGAGTTCTACAGGTCGATTGAGAAAACTGTGACTTTGGGACATGTTAGTTGTTGTTAAATTCTAAGTCATTATTTTGTGTTTGATTACATGTACATTGTATATAGTGCTTACTTTAGTGTAATGTGAACGATTATGTATAAATTTCAAAATCTTTTGTCTTCAAGGCTGAAAAGCAGTCAGCTAAACTGCAGACTGAACGCTTAGAGAAAGAGCTGCAATCAAGCAATGAACAGAACACTTGTTTAATCAGCAGATTGCATAAAGCGGACCGAGAAATAAGTACGCTGACCAGTGAAGTGAGTTGCAGTACTTTGCTTCATCTAGAGAGCCTGAGATTACACAGTGATGGAGCAATTTGCTGTTTGAATTCTCTCTATTGAAATCTTTTTTAGCCCCTCATTCTGTCTTTGAACTGTGGTAGAGCTCTAACCGGGGTCTGTGTGCTCTGCCCATGCGGAGCTCAGTGTGACCTGGCTCTTTAGTCCTTCCTCAGCAATCAGCACCCTTTCCTTCCTGTTCACCTCCCTCCTCCCTCCTCCCTCAGCGACCATCCTTGAAAAAGTTCATTCTTCCTCAGGGTCTTTGTGTGCCTGCCAGGAACTTTCCTCACAGAGTTACATTTATCTTGCTTCCTTCCTTTCTTTATTGTTACCTAATAGAAGAGGCCTGCCTGCCTTGTCTTAAAAATAGTGAAGTAGTATCTTCCATCTTCTGCCTTATTCTTTGCATTCCTAACCTATAAGACGAATTGCTAGACGGTCTTATTAATACAAACCCGGAGCCAGATATCGGGGTGAAAAACCGAGAGATCAGAGGAATAGGACAAACCACAGCCAACCTCACCTCACCAACACCTCAGTCTCCAAAGAGACCTACTTCCTGACTACCCACACCTATATGCCTTTCCATTCTGCCATTTCATTTCCTCTCTCTGCCCAGCTACATCACTTCCTCTTCCTGCCCAGCTCTGTCACTTCCTGTCTGTCTGTACAGACCTCCAGATCTTTATGGTTAACTAGTGCTGGGATTAAAGGCATGTGTCACCACACCAGGCTGTTCCCAGTGTGGCCTTGAATTCACAGAGATCCTGATGAATCTATGCCTCCTGGATGCTAGGATTAAAGATGTGTGCTATCCCTTGACCTCTATGTTTACTATAGTGCCTGGCTTTTTTCTCTGATCCTCAGATAAACTTTATTAGGGTACACAATATATTGGGGACACAATACATCATCATACTAACCTGCTCTGTTTTTCTTCATAACTTTTTTAAAAGAATGATTTATTTATTTATTTATTTTATGTGCATTGGTGTTTTACCAGCGTGTATATCTTGTGTGAGGGTGTCAGATCCCCTGGAACTGGAGTTACAGACAGGTGTGAGCTGCCGTGTGGGTGCTGGGGAGTGAGCAGCCAGTGCTCTTAACTGCTGAGCCATCTCTGCAGCCATCTGCATAGCTCTTAATACCATCTGATCTATTCATTTTTTATTTTAAAATGATTTATTTATTTTTATATTTTGTGTGTGTGCCTGTATGTATTGTTTTACATGTGTGTCTGGTGCTCAAGGAAGCCAGAAGAGGGGCGTCAGGTCCTCTGGAACTAGATTACAGATGGCTGTTAGCCACTTTGTACCCACAAAATCCGGGAACAGAACCTGGTCCCTTGCAAGAGCATCAGTGTTCTTAACCACTGAGCCATCCCCCCAGCCCCCATTGGTTTTGGTTTTTAGATCTCTCCTCCCCACTTTCTCCTTTAGCCAGTGCCAGCTCCAGGGTATCAAGGACATTGCTCTTATCACTGCAATACTCCTAGACCCTGGGAAATCACATTCACATGGCAGACACTTGTTAGTAGTTCTTCAGTAAGTAATTTTAACAACATAACTTGCTTTTAAATTATCCTTAAACATGTAACTTGAATGTTCTTAAGTCATCTTTATGCCATAAAGTATTTCTCCAATTCAACTTTTCCCTATTAAATGCAATATGTATATATAAGGAATCTCAAAACCAGAAATAAGATAGCAATAACAAAAATATTTTATAGAAGATCAATTTTGGGGTCAGACAGACTGAATTCATGTTAGATTTTGTTTTTTAATTAGCTCTGTGACTTTGGTATATCTCTTCTTGAAACTTTGGTATCTACCTCCATAAATGTGTCTGTGGAATTGTGGAAAAATTAAATGAGGTATTATACATGAAGTGCTTACTATAAGGTCTAACAGATGCTTACTAACATACTATGGTTTTTAGTCTTTGGACTTTGAAAGTAAGGTTGGTTTCCAAATCAGTGAAGTCATTTTATGTCTAGCAGGGTAGTTATATAAAATACCCTAAAAGACAGGATGGCTCCCAGGTTAAAAAAAAAAAAAAAGTATTCTCTGTAGACTAAGTAGAAATGTCTATATTTAAAGGAATTGTCTGGTCATTATAGATTCTTGGCCAAGAATTTTCTGAGACGGCTCATGGGCGGGGTTTTGAGTGAGAAGAAAGAAAGAGTTTTGTTTGGTGACGTTTTGTCAGCAGAACTGAGGGGTCATGGGTCCCCTGAAAACAGAATGCTTCCTAGGAAGTTAGACTTGAGGGGTCTGTTGACTTTCCCCGTTACCGTGGTTGATTTTGTTAGGCAGTTTATACATGTGACTGTTCTCTCTGATCCCAACCCCGATCTCTGCTAGTCCCTTTCTCACAGTCCTGCTTTGGGTTATGTGCTGTGACCCATTTAGTTTAACCAGGGCCATCTGTGGGGACCCATGGATCGGAACTATCCGTTGGAGACCGATAGGATCATCAGTGGGTATGCAATTGAAGGCAATAATTCCACCTCTTCCCTAATCTGTCAGTACCAAATAGTTGAGCGGTGAGTGATAGGGCCCCTGAACGCCTCCATCTTACCTCTCAGCCCATTCTCTTGGGGTCAGTTCAGGGACCTCCAGCTGCTGGCAGTTTGTGATTGCAGTGCCTGTGTTGCCTAGAAGATGACCATATTTCAACACGGTCCTTCTTTTCACCCCATCTTCCTCAGTGTTCAACTGTAGAGGGGATGGTGTAAGTGTCTTTTTATAGGTGGACCTCTGATCTGTCGCTTACACTCAATACAGCCATGAGTCTCTGTATTCACCACCATTAACTGGAAAGATAGGCTTCTCTGATTAGAACTAGAGTAGCATTTGTCTGTGGGTACACATGTATGTATTTAGATGCTAGCTTGATGCCTAAACAACTCTCTTTAGTTCTGCCTCAGGGTTTATGATCTCCTCCACCGTGGGTTTTGACTAGGTTCAACAGTACCATGCAGTACCTCCTGTAGACTGGGTCTTAACAAATCAGAAAGCAGTTACCCCATAACAGTGGTTCCTCTGTTGTACAGTGGGCCCATCTTACCTGACAGGTTGGGTTTATGGATTGTAGGATTCACATCTAGGAAGACACTGATGCCCGTCCTTTCGCGGCAGCCGACAACACTTTCTGGGGCTGTGAAAACTAGGTGGCAGGGAGGAAGTTTTCTGCTCAGCTCCAGCTTGATTTCTCTATACCATGCACGCCTGGTGTATGAGACCTTTTGCGAAAGAGCTTTACCTAGTTCTGACAGGCGGCAGGAGGGAGCGGTTTAGGAAGAGTGAGGAAGGGGGCAGAAAGAATGTCCACGCTTGGGCCCTCCCTGACCAATAACTCTACCCCTAGTACTGGGGTTTTCTTTAGTAACCCATGGCCTTGAGATCAGTTTTTCTAGCCTTACAAGGTACCTCCCTTAGAATTCTTTTTCCCCCAGTTGATAGGTTTCTGTACAGGTGCTTTACCCCTCTGTTTTAACCTGGGGCCATGTAACAATCCGTCCGTCTTAGTCTCTTTCTGGTCATGCAGCCTTGTGACCATTTGACTTCTCATGTAATTTCACCTACAGAAAACAAATGTGCTAATAACCCAGCTTAGAACATTCTTGTTACCATTTTCCATACAGTTAAACTGGCATTCTGTTTTGGGAAATTAGTATGAGTGTAACTTTGAATCTTTTTAAAAAGCATTGTGATAAAACTGGGGTTTTTGTGCTTGAAATACTGAGGCTGTAATTTTAGATGCATTGGACATCACCCTTGGAAGATAATCTACTCTTTTTTTTTTCTATTAAAAGCCAGCAGGTGGTTCAGTGGGTAAAGATGCCTATCATGAAGGTTGTCCTGATCTCTATACATGCGCTTGGCATTTGTATGTCCTTTCCTCCAATTCATAGATGTAATTTAAAAATTCACACTATTCCATACTACAGAGTGTATGTATGTCTAGTGGCCTTTTATTTTTGTTTCAATTTATATGTAGCATACAAGTTGTTTTGTAGCTGATGTTTCATTTAGTTCACCTGACATGAATGATACTGGAAGTAAATAAAATTAGACAAATAAAACGTTTCTCTATATTTATTTATTGTGAGGCAGGGCTGCTCTCATTATGGAGCTCTGGCTATCCTGGAACTCACAATATAGACCAGGCTGGCCTCAAACTCACGGAGATCCACCTGCCTCTGCCTCCCGAGTGCTGGGATTAGTGTGCACCACCACACCCAGCTACAAATAAGATTGTTAATGGTGAAATATACACACATATATAAACTTTCCTTCTCTTCCCTTCTTCTCCCCACCTCCCTTTTTGTGATACTAGGAGCAGAAGTTACGTTTTTGTGCATGCTAGACAAGCATTCTACCAATGAACTACATTCCCAACTATAGCTATTAATATTTTTAACTTTAGATATTATCTATTAGTTTATAGGTTTAAATTTAGGTTATGTTTCGAAATTACACCATTTTGGACTAGGTAATGAAATACAATGGGAAGTCCCTGAGCTTTGAATCAGATGAACATATTTTGAATCCTAACTCATTCATTTTATTTTATTTCTAGTGTATCCTTAAATAAGAAAATAAAGAATAGAGATTTTATTTTTTCCCCCAGAGACTGACTGGTCAGTAACTGTGTAACCTTAGGCAAGCTATTTCATATCTTTAATATCCTGGTGATGTCATTGGGATCCAATTTCCTAAGTGCATCAAGGCCTTTTTCTGTTGATCACTAAGATCCTATAGTATAAACCCCACTAGAAGTCAAGTAATGATGTGGCCTCTTCCTGATTTAGGTCAACAGACATAGACCAAATGTCTATAGTGATAAGTGTATAGCAAAATTTCAGTCCCCATCTAATCAAAACAGATTCAAAACACAAACAAGAGAACTCAAGGTTTTCTTAAAGTCCTATATACATTGTTTTCAGTTTTGCTCAATAACATTTAAGTATCCAGTATATGCAGTAGTTTGTTTTAGATCCAGTGTCCTGACTGGGTTCCTGAAATAACTGGAACTGGAAATGCAGCAATAGGACATGGGTATGCAGGGCTTGGGTGGGGGTGGGGGTGGGTGGGGCTTTTGTGCCAGTTTGCCCTAGTTCTCTGCTTCACCTGGGTACTGACCTTCTCTTCTGCTGCGTTCTGTACACACACCCTTCACCATTGTTCTTTCTCTTCTCAAGAATAAATGGCGTCTCCTGTTCTGCTGAATGAAACCAGCAGTTTGGTATTATTTCTCTACACTTGTTTACTAGCACTTTGCTGAGACTTACCTGTGTTTTTTAAGGCACACTTGAAGTAGTTTGCATATAAATGGAGTATTCAATATATCCTTCAACTTTAGACAAAGCAAGTTTCATCTAAAATTTTATATGTAAAAGGATTGCAGGAAGGATAATTTTAAAAATATTTCTAACATGAGTGTCACAGTTTTCTTTGCAACTTGAAATTTTCATCAACATCTTGCAATCCTAGCAAATGGCTGTTTTCAATGCAAAGGAACACCTGGGGTATGTTTAACTAAGTGATTTAAATTTGTAAATGTTAGGTTTAGAACAAAGCTTTGCTAGTATCAGTGGCTCAGATTAAAGGCATTATCATAGGTGACCTAAAATGATGTCCTTAATGATATTTCACATCCAGTGAAGAACATTATGTTGCTTCATGAGGTTTTCAATCTTCAGAAGTCTAAGTTAGTTACAGAAAACCATCCCTCAGAATTGTGACGATCGAGCTGAGTTAAGGAAATCATATCACCTCAGAGTTTAGAGAAAGGTCAGAAGTTTAATATCATCTCTTTGGAATTTATAGCCAGAGCTTCTGGTGTGACACATTTTTTTATACAACTATCTTGTTTCTCCTATATATTATTTTCTCGGGTTTTTGTTTTGTTTCAGGATTTTTAAGGTTAACTTGTTTGATATGTATGAATGTTTTCTCTGCACACATGTGTCATATGTGACTTGTGCAATGGAGGTCAGAAAGAGGGTATTGGATCCCTTGGATATGGAGTTATAGACAGTGTGAATCACCATGTAGATGCTGGTAACTGACCCTGGGTTCTCTGAAAGAGCAACAGACGCCAGCCCCCTTCGTTTATTTTGTAGATTTGTCTACTTTAACAGATTTTGAGTACCTATAAAATGCCTAATACTACCATTTAAAATTCTGTATTAGTGCAACTAGCTGAATATTTGCTTCTGTGTTTTCAAAAGTGTAAAACAAACCACGATTGAAAAGGCCAGACTCTGGCCAGCAGTTTAAGACAAAGTAACTTAGCTTGGTAAAGATGGATGGGACAGTGGAGCTCTTAAAGTTGAGGTTTCTAGGGTTTTTCAGAGTTTGGAAGCCTGAGTACAAGGAATAGAATGGCCATGCAGTAACAGCAGAAGTTAGGGGTATTTGAACTTGTCACTGTGTGCGTGTTGGAGTGGAGGACAAAGGTCATGGCCAGCTGTCTTCCTCGGTTGTTCTCCACCTGACTTCCTGAGACAAGGTCTCTCTTGCTAGCTAGCCATAGCTGGTTGACTGGTCTGGCCGCCTGGGAAGGCCCAGGGAGGGTCTGCCTCTGCTGCCCTCGCTCTGGGATTACTTCCTGGCTTGCCGCCACACAGCTTTCAGTTTTAACAGGGGTCCTGGGGTCCACACTCAGGGCTTACACAGTTTACCCACTAAGCTTTTCATCACCCATTTTCATGTTTTTAATATTTCTTTTAGTATTTTTATATTTAAATATAAAATATATTTTAGAAATTTAACAATTACTAGTTATGTAAGTAAATCCATTCTTTTAAGATCATAGAAATATGGCACCAAAGAACAATTGAATCTCTATATATTATAAACAAGTAAATTCCTTGAGCATATGTAGTTTAACAGCATAAATAAGCCTGTCCCCGGCCCTGTTGAAATTGTTTCCTTTTCTCTCTCTCTCTCTCTCTCTCTCTCTCTGTGTGTGTGTGTGTGTGTGTGTGTGTGTGTGATACATTTTTCTGTGTATATGTGTACATGTGTGTAGAGCCCAAAGGTCGATATTAAGGTGTCTGTTGTCTATCATAGTTTATAATTAGTTTTTTAAAGATTTAAAATTCTTTAAAATTTTTCTGTGTATGGATGTTTTGCCTGCATGTATTTGTGGGCACAGCATGTGTACCTGATGCTTAGAGAGACCAGAAGAGGGCATCAGCTCTCTTGGGACTGGAGTGAGAGACAGTTGAGAACTGCCCTGTGAGTTCTGGGAACGGAGCCTGGTTCTTCACCACTGAGCTGCCTCTCCAGCCTCGTTTGTGGGATTTCTTTGTCTGAGACAGTCCTTCGCTGAACCTGGAGTTCAACTGACTGGGCCAGCCTGGCTGGGAGCCAGTGCCAGGGACCCGCTTGCTCTGTCTCCCGGGCACTGGGATGGAGGTGCCCCGTGCCATGCCCAGCTTTTCCCGTGGGTCCTTGGATCTGAACACGTGCCTCACGCTTGTGCTGCAGGCACCTTGCTGACGGATCCAGCTTCCCAGCCTAAAGAAAGTCCTCTTCATTTTAGCAAGTCTCAGGGTGAGAGTAATGTGAAAGGTTTTTATTTGTTAGTTTTTCTTGAGGTTACCATGAAATTAATCAATATCCTATGGACTTATCTTGAATTTGTCACCTCATCGAAAGCAGCTACAGTGTAGTTTAGTGAACTTCTGTGTCCTTCTCAGCCTTTTGCAATTAGTGAATAATAGCAACTTATAACTATGTCCCTGTAATCATATTTTAATGTTACATCTTCTCAGCATTTTAATGCATTTATAAGTTGTCCTTGAAATAATGGCATAGTAAGAGAATTTAGGTATTACAACCCCAGCAGAAGGTTGCTCTTTTATATTTATATGTCATTTAGTGGTGCACAAATCGATTTGAAAGGGTCTGTTTATTGTGGACAGCAATGTAAACAGTAAAGTACTTGGTTTGTTGTTTCCTTGAGATGTGTATGTTCCGTGAAGCCGTTCCTTGCAATGTTTTCAATGTCTTTTGTAGACAAAACCTCCTGTAATAAGAAACTCGTGTCTGTGGTTCTTCCTTTTGGCGCTTGGACTGTTCCCGATTTGTGTCTTAACTGCCACCTTCATTTGCTATTGGGTTTTACTGGGCTCCACATAACTTAATCCTTTCCTGTCATCCACATCCTATGTTTAGCTTGTGTATGTTTGTAGTCGTCTACTCTAATTCTATAATTTTACACTTAGGTATAAATCAAATTACAGGTTTATCTCATCTTTATGTCTCTTGGTTAAGCCTAACGCCTTTGTAAATAATTTTAGAAGTTTGTGTAAAATGTTAATAGTGTGGATGATTGGAAAGACAGAACGTTTGTATTTACTGCGCCATTCCTGACTCCTAGAATTGTACCTGACACATAGTAAGTCAGTGAATATTGTTGGATGAAGGTATACTACTTATGAACTAGAATTATTTGCTAGGAATATTTAGACTAAAAATGATATGTGACAGATTAATTATGGGAAGTATTTGTTCGCATTCACCTGGGGCTTTAGAAGAAGCAGATTCTGTAATAAAGGATTTGTACCTATACCGTTCCATCTACCTCACATGTATATACACATGCCAACACATTTAGTCTCCAAGTTCAATTGGTCCTTTTTTGGCCTCTTTTTATTATTATTATTATTATTATTATTATTATTATTATTATTATGCTGTGAATTGATTTCTTTGCTTTTATTTCTTAGCCTAGCTCATTTTAAATTAGAGTTAATTTTCTAAAAGTTAATTATTCTATCTTAAAAAGCTAGGCAACCATGTTCAATGGTGTGCTGTACAGTTTTATGTCAATTTAATATGAACTAAAGTCATCTGAGAGGAGGGAACCTCAGTTAAGAAAATGCCCTCATAAGATCAGCTGTAGGGCATTTTCTTAGTGACCAAAGGGGGAGGACCCAGCTCACTGTGGGTAGTGCCATCCCTGGGTTAGTGGTCCTGGGTTCTATAAAAAAGCAGGCTGAGCCAGCCAGTAAGCAGTACTCCTCCATGGCTGCCGCATCAGCTTCTGTCTCCAGGTTCCGCCTTGTTTGAGTTTCTGTGTTGACTTTCTCGATGATGGACTGTCATGTAGAAGTGTAAGCCAAATAAACCCTTTCCTCCTTGACCATGGGGTTTCATCATAGAAATGGTAACTCCAACTAAGACAATAATAACTCTCATTCCCTGCCATTCCTCCTTAGAGTTTATGCCTCCCTATGCTTTATTGTAAGGGATAGCTCTTTGTGTAAAGAGCAGATTGTGTGATGTTATTTCTGATTAACACTTTATATGCTGTTCCTACTACCTAAAATGCCTTTTTTTTGCCACCTTTTTGTTCTGTTATGAAATTAGATCCAGCCAAGTAGCCTTGGGGTCTGAACTTACAGAGATCTGCCTACCTCTGCCTCCTGAATATTGATTATGATTAAAGGCATGTACCACCATGCCCAGCTGTTTCTTCCTTTTTAGAAGGAAGGTTTCAACACTTTCCCTCCTGAAATGTTCTGAATTGTCAGTGGATGTTATTTATATGCAGTTAAGATTTTTAAGGAAAGATTCAGCCCTGATGACTCCACCCAAGTATTTGTAAATGCATGCCTTAGTTCCATTAGGAAAAGATCACTTTTGTTTGGTATCTCTCTGCTGTTCTGAGCCTTGGGATACTTTCTCGGAAGGTATTTATACCCTGTACTACCAGATTATTTACTTATTTCCACCCATGCTCTTAGTATGTACTGAATGATAAGAAAATGACCCAATAATAATTTCAATTTCTAATGACCAACAGGTGAAAGAGCTCAAACATTCAAACAAACTAGAAATAACTGACATCAAACTGGAGGCAGCGAGAGCTAAGAGTGAGCTAGAAAGAGAAAGGAATAAGATTCAAAGTGAACTGGATGGTAATATATTTTCCCATGCTTTTCTCTATTCTTTTCAGGTCTAAATTCAAATTATTAAAACAAAGCAACCTGAGTTTTTTTCTAGATTCTCAGTCTTAATAGAATTTTCATATTACAGTTTATAGGGACTATTTTTATTATGTTGAATGGTTTGTTTATTCTGTGATCTTTTTTAAATGACCTACCTTACATTTATATAGTAGTTTTTGATTACTGTGTGAATTAAAAGTATTGAAAATGTGGGTTTGTTCTTTATGTGATTATAATTTTAAATGCTTATAGATCAGCTGGTCATTAGGCTAAAGGATATAAGGAAGTAAGTTCCAATCATAATTTTTTGTTTTGTTTTCAAAACAGGGTTTCTCTGTGTAGTTTTGGTTCTGGATCTCATTCTGTAGACCAGGCTGGCCTCGAACTCACAGAGATCTGCCTGCCTCTGCCCCCCGAATGCTGGGGTTAAAGGCGTGCACCACCACTGCCCGGCACCAACATAAGTTTTTGTTTGTTTTTGCTATAAATCCTAGGCTAATTATTGAATCCCCATTCAATATGTGCTTATTTTTGAGCTCCAGTTTAGTCTTAAACGTGTCCTCAAGATGTCTCAGAGGTTTCGGTTCTTTATACTTCAGCAACCTTCCCTCGGGTTATAACTGTGCTTGAGGTTACCTCCGTTGTTTCAGGTAGACTTTATTTTTATTAATAATTGTTTTGACTATTTCCATATATTTTCAGAGTTGAGAGTAAATTTTTTTAGTGTTAGAGTTTGGGATATATTGCTGTATTATGTTTTTAAAGGTTAAATATAAATTTGCTGTAGTTATTCATCTCTCAAACATTTATCACAAGATTTGAGAATTTTTTCAGTAAACTTGAAAGTTTCCTTATTGCTCATATTTTTGTTAGAAATATAGTATATTTGCTAGAATCCTAGGTTTCTTTTTGAAGGGTTCAGTTTTCTTTGGGTTTGTTTGTTTGTTTGCTTTAATTTACTGTTATCAGCTTGTTTATGATACTATCCTGGGGCTCAAAACTCCTGTAAGAAGTCAAGTAAATAAGCCTCTTTGGGTGTTTGTCTAAGCTGATCTCTACCTCCCAAGGTTCAGAAGAATAAATGTCTGTCTGGAAAGATTGTGTATTGTGTGCTTAGAAGTGACGACACGTTATCTCCACCTTGTTCCACTGCTGTCCGCAAAAGCTCTGATGAGCTGACACTCCGTGAGGACCTTGAAGAATACCTGTCCAAGAGACCTCTCAGATTCTTTTGTTTTACTGGGTTTCAGATGCTCGTTAATGGTAAACTTCATGTTAATATTGAATATAGTTTCTTTTTCTTCTGAAAATACACTAGGATTGCAGGCAGACAATGAAATTCTCAAGTCCACTGTCGAACACCACAAAGTACTCTTGGTGGAAAAAGATCGTGAATTAATCCGTAAAGTACAAGCTGCCAAGGAAGAAGGTTATCAGAAACTCGTGGTGTTACAGGATGAAAAGTAAGTCCTTAGTGCCTTGGTTTGTTTCCGTTTCTTGGTGAAAACATTGCATTCTCAGATCATCTTTATTGTAGTTCTCCTAACATGATTATCATCTGTTGTTTTAGGCTGGAACTTGAGAACAGATTATCAGACTTAGAGCGAATGAAAGTGGAACACGATGTCTGGAGGCAGTCGGAGAAGGATCAGTGTGAAGAGAAACTGCGGGCCTCGCAGATGGCCGAAGAGGCAGCCCGGAGGGAGCTGCAGAGTATTAGGTTAATTTGTGTCTTAAGATAGTTTGGGGCGTGGCGCCATAGTGGGGTAAAAGTAGCACAGAAAACTCCTCTACCTTTTACCCCAAGTTCCACATAGTAACAGATTTCCTAACTGTGTTAGAGTAACAGCCGAAGTTAGGATCAATCAGTAACTAGTCAGACAGTAAAGAAGACCTATTCCCTTTATTTAGATTCTACCATTTCACTTGTTTCTTATCTTTAGTCTACTATAAAATTATTGTTTCACTCTTAATAGTTAATCTTCGGCTCCCTTCACCGTATTTTGAGACTGTGTAAATATTCTCACTAAACATTCTACTAATTTTAGCATTCATTTACCATCCTTGCCTTTCAGTTGTTACTTGTGTTTTCCAGTTGTGATTTTTCTTATGTAGTTTTGACATTTCTTCTACATCTGTTATTTGGAATTCTGAAAAGAAGGGCCTTCCTTTTTGACAATGGCATTTTAATCACTGTAGACTAGTAGATTCTTACTTTCTTTGAGTTGCACTGTCTCAGATTTGACCATTGGAAGCTCGTGCCACTTCCTGAGGATTTCCCCACTTTCTAGTAGGAATCATGTAGGAATCATGCCATCAGGAGTGTGGATTTCATCCTGCCTAGCTATGCTCGTTGATACTTTGTAACTGGAGTTTTGATATTGTTGAAATCATCTGTGTTTTCCGATGGCCTTAGGCGACTCCCGTGAAAGGCAGAGAACTGCTGTGCTAGCCTTTGCTCTGGCTGGCCTTGGCCCAGGTCTTAACTAGCATTTCTTGGAGAGAGGTATGGTAAACAAATGTCAGTCTGGGTTGTTGGTTAGTATTAGGAGTGCCTTGCACTGAACTCCTTTCAGTGGCTTGCCTACTCTTTCCATGGTGAAAAGAGAATATCGAAATCTCTGCTGTTTTCGAACAGTGCCTCCCTTTAATTCTGTGAGGTTTTGCACATGTGGGTGGCCACAGTTTGACATTGGGCATTTTCTTCTGTCGCTGTCCACCATATCTTTTAAGATGAGGCTCTCAGTGATCTTGGAGCTTGGTGTTGAAGCCAGCCAGTCTGCCACTGAGCCCCCATGTCCTCCTGTCTTTGCCTCCTAGCACTGGAATTGCCAGAGTGTGCTGCCATGTACCCTGCTTTTTGTGTAGGTCTGGAGGATCTAAACTCAGGTCCTTGCGCTTGTACTGGACGGACGGACTTACCTACGCACCCTTCTCCTTAGCCCAGCTTTCTGTATTTTTTGGTCTAGTACTATCCAGCTGTTTGTCATTGTTATATATTTTTGGTGTGTTGACCTTTTCATTTTACAGTGTCCTTCATTTTTATTGTAACTTTATAAAGTTTAGTATGTTTTGTTTAGGTTTGGTATATTTGCCATGGCTCGCTCTGGTTACTGTCCACATGGGGTGTATTTTCCATGCTTTCCTTTACAGTTTATTTGTACTTTGGATTTATAGTGAATGCTTTGTAGGCATCATTTAGTTGAATCTTACTGTTTGCCCATTCTGTCACTGGCTATCTTTTGATTGGCACATTTTATGTGTTTACATTTATAAAGCAATTACTACTTTTCTGTCTTTAAATTTCATTTCCCCCTTGTTCCCTTCAATACTTTCCTCTTTGTATTTAATTTTTTGCTTTTTTGCTTTCTTTTATTCTGCTCATCTGGTAGGAAGAGTGTTTACATTCTTTTCTTTTGATTGTATATCTTATAGCTATGGTTATCAAGGGATTTACATTCATATCTTTATGCTTCTAATACTTTTGTTTGAATTTATATCAGCTTAATTGCCAAGACATACACATTTCATTTCTGTCCACACCATTTTCTGTTGTTCATGTTACAAAATTACATATCTGTGCAGCATATGCCCCCAAACATGATGTTTCCCCCAGTGAATCAATTTCTTAAATTAACTAGAACAATTTGTGGAGTTGTAAGCTCAAGCTACAATAATACTAAATTTTTTAAACAAATTTTAAAATATCTTAATCTCTTAAGCCATTAGTAAGCAAGTTACAATAATAGTTTTTATAATTTCACATGGGTCTACTATTACTGTCTTTATTCTTTTTCATGTAGATTTGAGTTATTATTTAATAGGCTTTCCTTTTACCAAGTGGGCCACCCTTGAACATTTCTATTGCATAGGTCTTATGACTGCCAACTTCCTCACTGTTATGTGGATTTTTTGTTTGTTTGTTTGGTTGGTTGGTTTTTTGTTTGTTTGTTTTTTAAGACAGGGTTTTCTCTGTGTAGCTTTGGATCCTTTCCTAGAACTCACTCTGTAGCCCAGGCTGGCCTCGAACTCACAGAGATCCACTTGCCTCTGCCTCCTGAGTGCTGGGATTAAAGGTGTGCGCCACCACTGCCCTGCTGTAGAATTTTCTTTCACTCTAAAAACATTTTTAAATGAACTTTATTATACAATGTTTTAAATAAACATCTACAAGAATTGTTTTTTGCTGGATTCAGGATTTTTTAGTTGAAATTTTTTTTTAAAGTATATTAAATATATCCATCCACTGCTTTCTGGCCTCTTAAGGTTTTAAGTTTTTGTTTTTTAAGGTTTGTTTTTATTTTATGTTTTTGTCTGCATACACATCTGTGCATGTGTGCCTGGTGGATGTGAAGGTCAGAAGAAGGCTTTAGATCCCCTGGAGCTGGAGTTACGGGTAGTTGTGAGCTGCAGTGTGGGTGCTGGGAATTGAAACTGGGTCCTCTGGAAGAGCAGCTGATGTTATTAATTGCTGAGCCCTCTCCCCAGCCCTGCATCTACTTTTTTTTAAAAGATAAAATCTTTCTGTGTATATCTTGAACTCATGACCCTCTTGCCTCAGCCTCCTGAGTTCTAGGACTGTAGGCGTGCCTCAGAAACCCTAGCTATACATCTGCTTTTGAATGTCCTGATCTTTCATACCCGTCTCCCAAAAGTCGAACAAAAGTCAAATAAAAGGGTAGGCACTGGTTCTGAGAGTTCCCTAGAAATGATTTCAGCCAAAAAGGGAACAGTAACTACCTATTTCTTTGCACCGTTTGGATCAGAAGCAATAGTTAGTAATCAAGGTACAGGGTTCCATATTTGGGGGACAGATAGCATTTACCCACTCTGGTTTCTGGACTGAATGCACAGTCCTGCCTGGTGGTGTACAAAGCTACCTGAGACCTTGGCTGCTTCTGTTGGAAGAGGTGCAGTACAATCAATCATTAACTGCTATTTACAGTTGGAGCCCTCCTCTGAAAGTTGCGGGTCTTCAGAAGGCTCTAGATTTTCAAGTAATTAGACTGATTTTATTAATGTATTTGCTGTCCAAATAAAGAGACATATTCATTAATTTAGCTTAGGCAGTGTTTCTCAACCTATGGGTCACGACCCCTTTGACAAACCTCTAGCTCCAAAAAATATTTACATTACAATTCATAATGGCGAAATTACAGTTATGAAGTAGCAATGAAATAATCTTATGGTTGGGGTCACCACACCATGAGAAGCTGTGTTAAAGGTCTCAGCATAAGGAAGATTGAGAAGCACTGCCTTGGAACAGACTTTTTAACGCATGTGGCACGTTCACCCTGACTGACTCGGCCATCTTGGTGGCCCTTGAGTTCTTTGTTTTCCTTCTCTGAAGGAGTTAAAAATTTTTCTAAGTATTTAATCCTTGTTATGAATATATTTCCCTTTTGTTTTGGTCTCTAGCTGTTAATGTTTATAAGGACAATAAATTTTTATAGGTTAATTTATATTCTGTCTGCATCCCGATTTGAGTTAATTTTACTTTTAATTACTTCATGTAGGAGCAGACACGATTTTCCTTCTTTCCCGAGTCCTCGGCTCCGACCTGATGACCTAATGGCACTGGCAGGTGCCCAGTTCAGCGCTGAGTAGCAGTGTGGAGGGTCGGCCTCCTTGGTGCTCATTCTCTGCCCTGTGTTGGGTCCTCATGGATTACAAAGTTAGCGTTAGGAGCTAGAGAGACGGCATGGCAGTCAAGAGCACGAGTAGCTCTTGCAGAGGACCGGGGTCCAGGTCCATAACCATAACCATCGGCAGCTCCAGTTCAGGGCATCCATGCCCTCTCCTGACTTCCTTGGGTACAGGCGTGCACATGATGCTTGTACATATGTGCAGGCAAAATTATTCACACACGTAAAATAGATTAAAATTAAATAAATATAAAAACTCTCCTTTTTAAGATTTTGATTGGAAGTATATTGACTTTATAGGTTAATTTAAGAATATTAATCCTTCCAATCCATGAATATCTCACATCACTCCTTTTTAAAGTAATTTTTCTACTACTGTCCCTGCACTATTTACCTCACTGTCTCCCTCATCTTTTCCAAAGTTTTATGCCTAGGTCTTTAATACTTTTACAAGTGGTGCTGTTTTCAATGTTGTGATTACTCACTGGTGCAGCAGAAATAGTTGACTTAACTGACCTTGAATCTTATGCCTGCTCAAATTTTTGAGTAGGAAAGAATATCCTTCCTCTTCTTGCTTCTCTTTTGTTGTTTTATTGTTGATTTTGAGTTTCATTGCATTGTGACTAGAGAATATTTGGACTTTATGCAGCACATTAATATTTCATTTGTTATCTACTATGTCAAGGGCAGTACTAGGGTAAGGCAAGAGAAACACCCCCAGGGTGTGAACTTTAAAGAGAAAAAGAATGTTTATTTTATCCCTGTGAGTGTCCGCCTGCTGGTATGTATACCATGTATGTGCCCGGAGCCCTCAGAGCTCAGAAGAGTGTGTTATATACCATGGAACTGGAGTTACAGGTGGTTGTGAGCCACCATGTGGGTGCTGGGAATCGAATGTGGGTTCTCTGCAAGAGCCGCAAATTCTCTTGACCACTTGGCCAGCTTTCCAGCCGTACCATTTACCTTTGTAGGCTGATTCTGACATTTGCATTAGCCTCAGAGTGACTGTCTCAAAATTTGCATAGAATGGTCACCTCATTTGTCTCATGCCTGTAGTGTATGATCCGTTTTTGTG